AGGATTATCCTAGGCCCTACCCACTTTTGGACTCTCTTCTTAAGAGTATATTTCCTACATGCACAGAAATATTACCTATACTCATACTTAGCAATGTTTCATCATTAGACAAGGTCTCTATTCTGAGAACAAGAACCATGTCATCTATTTACATGATATTCCCACTTAGATAGCTCATAAGTATTTCAAACTTAACTTCTCAAAGCTTAACTCAACAATTTGCCCCGTAAGCATACTTCAACTGTTACCTAAATAAAGGACACCGCTGGTTATCCATGTACTTACGTCAGTATCCTTGGATTTACCTCCAATGTCTCCTCTCGCTCATCCTTCTGTCAGATTCACCCTTGAAGTCCTTTCAATTTTATCTTTAAAATCTCTCCCAAATCTGTCTATTTCTGTTCATCCCCACAGTTACAACTAGAGTCCAAGCCTTCTATTACTATACACCAGGACTTCTACAATAGGCCATTCTTCCTGTGTAAAACTCTCAATCACCTTCTGTCATCCTTAAAATAGTATCCAAATCCTGACCAATCAGTCTGGCCCATGCATTCCTCTTCCAACCTCACTATGTACACTCTATTCTTTACTTTTGATCCCTCTGCATTGAATGCTCCTCCATCCCTCTTTTTAGTCTTTTATGTCTTAACTTAAATGAAACTTCTTTGTAGCCATCCAACCACACATGTTCATGGTGCCTTTTATTTCTCACTCATGTTATTTGATACAATTATAACCAATTAACTGTGCAATTATTTATTTAACATACACCTCTCAAATTAGGCTTTAAGCTTTTAGGAGCAGAGACTCATCTAACTTATACCTATGTGCTTAGTCATTAAGAAACCTGGCACACTGTGGGTGAAATAAATTGACCAATATGTGGGACTTGCCCTTGTTTTGCTATCACCATTGACAGGGGAAACATTTTAAACCAGAAATGCTTTCTTGCACATTTCAGGTCATTTTTCAGGCAGTCTTCCTAAAGCCATCACCACTAAGAGGTAAATATATATACTTTCTAGGACTGGCATTCTAACCATCTGGTGACAGATCAAAACTTCATCTAAACAAGTAAATACTTTGGATTACAGATTAAAGAAAAAATTGCTTCTGCAAACTCAGTCCATTTTTTTCTGAAGCAAGAGTGATGACATCGGTCTTATATATCTAGTACAATACATCTATATATCAATACCTAGTAAAACACAATATTTTACTTAAGATGAGAAAATTAAATTCTCGATTATTTCAAAATAATACAAATTATATACAGCTAACATGGAAGACTATATTATACAACATTTACCATATATTAAGTATCAGAAGTATTGAGCCACAGATGGCAAATGATCAAGAAACTGCCACAGGTACTAGTTTCTCTTTGCTCTAGAGACTAGTGCAATACAATTCTCAAACACAATCCCTGAAATCCAATCCTGTAACTCCTCCACCATAAATCATAATCATAAAGTAGAGCATATGTTTCCCATCAGAACTATTGAAAGTTCTACTTCTGACAAAGCACACAATGTAAAATTCACGCTAGATGAATGTGATAAAAGCCAAAATTCAATAATAAGTATAAACTCTATAATACTTTTAAAATGTAAAATTGTGCTTCAAGTTCTATGAGTATAAACACGTTTTATATACCAAAGATACATGAGGCTCTGATATTCTACAGAACTATACAATGAACCCAAAATTCAATTTAAATATATCACCAGATTTGAAGTTGTAGTAACCCTGCTAGTTACATTAATGGAAAATTTGTTCTGGAAAGCATGAAACTACATCTCTCTTACTAGTAAGTTTCACAGAGCAAAAAACATGGTCAGAATTATTCTGTGTGGGCCGGGGATTTAGCTCAGTGGTTTCGCCACCTGTTGCGCAAGCTTAAGGACGGGAGTTTGATCCCCAGCACACACACACAAAAAAATTCTGTCCTTCATAAAGTCTGCAGTAACTTTCTCCACCACTAGATGGTGCTATCAGCCTCAGAATTCTAAGGAATAAAATGGGGAGGGGGGCAGCTCCATTAATCAGTATGTATTGATCATCCCTCCTAAAGATCACCAATCCTAAACATCTCCAGTCCCAGTATGCCCATATCCTCGTATTAATCAGATCACAAGTCTCAATCCTCAGCTGTTAACATACATGGCCACTACAATCTTAAAAGTATACTGAATAAATACAGTTAAAATCTGAAGTAATGAAAGGTTGGAAAACTTACAAACTTTCACAAAAGATTTTTGAATTCAATTCTAGAATCAGGTGACGAAAAAAATGGAAAAATCTATAAAGGCTTTTGAGTTATACTTTATCACCTCAAAAGCAATTTGTTCTTTTGTGGGATTTTTTTGTTTGATCTTTTAAAATTTTTTTATATTATTTGATCCCATTAACCCCCCCACCCTCCCTATGAACAAACACGTTGTTTCCATTTTTTCCTTTTATTTTCACTTTTTTTCTTATCCTTTCCTTCCTTTCTCCCTCCCTCCTCCCTTGGGAAGAATAATGGGAAGAAAATGTTCAATTTTCTTCCCATTTCCCAATATCGATTATACATTTTAGTCCTTATTTCCACTTTCAGTTTCTCACATCAGAGTAACAATGCGGTAGTTAAACATGAAGCATTTTGTTCCTATTATTTATCTAGTTTGTTTACCTTAAGGCTAGTTTTTGCAGAACACTGTATTTTTTAATTTTAAATTTCTGGGGTTTTTTTTTGGTACCGGGAATCAAACTCGGGACCTTGCAATTGCGCAGCAGGTGGCGAAACCACTGAGCTAAATGCCCGGCCCAAATTTCTGTATTTTTAATTGTACATATCTAAGAGGTAATATAATAAATTGATACATATGTAATGATCAAATCAGGGTTACTAGCACTTCCACCTCCTTAAATATTTCTTTTTATAATTTTGATTAGTACACCATAATTGCACATATTTATAACACTGTGATATTTCATTACACGGTATAAAACCTGACTATGTAAGTTTTTTCTTTTGGCAGTGTTAGGGAACAAACCCAAGGCTTGCACATGCTAAGAAAGTGCTCTACCACTGAGCTACATCCCCAGTCGACAATTATATTTTAACCTGTACTTTAAAATATTTGGATTAATCTGGAGTCCAGAAATGAACAGGGCTAAGGAAGTGTTTCAGTGGCAGAACACTTGCCTGGCGTGCACAAGGCCCCGGACTCCATCCCCAGTATTGCAAAAAAAAAAAAAAAAAAAGTGAAAACAATACTATTTTGTATTATTAAAGCCGTGATCTAAGAGATCAATAAAGACCACCAATTTTAATATGTTAACAACGATAATACAGGAAAATCCTTATAAAAAAAAGTTGATATGCTTTCTATATCCTTTTAAATTCTGTAAAATCTGTGGTAATGTCTCCTAGGTCTTGATATTGTTAATTTTAAAAATGTATAATTGATATTGTGTAATAGGAAGTAAAGGTCTAAAGGAGCAGGGGAAGTGGGAAAGGTAGGGGAAAGGAAAGAAGGGGAAAAATATATGAGTAAAAGAAAAAAATGGAAACAAAATCTTTGCAAATAGGGAAGAGTGGAGGGAGTGAAGGGAGGGCAGGGGAAGGGGGGAAAAAATAAGAACCAAGATACTCATGTAATGGTACAAGATCCCAATGATGAATGTAACTGTATTTTATTCCTAAAATGTACCAATACACTTAATGGGGAAAAAAAAGGTTAGTTGTTTTCTAAAACAACTGTGCTCAATCCATACAAGTTCTAAGCAGCATGTTCTTACAAGCTAACAAAAATTTTAAATATCTCTAATCTAAATGAAGGAACAGAACCTCAGATTAAATCCAAGCCATTTTATATTGCTAGTAAAAGTATCAAAATCATGTGTTTGAAAAAGTCTGAAGTCAGAATTCAATCTAAGAACTTACTCATTTTAAAGACCAACTACATATACAAGGTATGATCTAAAAATATTGTATTTAAATTGAAAAAACAATTTATTACAGCAAAAGACACATTGTCAGTAATCCCCCTCAAAGTAATTCCCCCCCCACACACACACTTTGAACACACTTATCCCATCATTCTTGCCACGTTCTAAAGCAGCTCTGGCTTTCATGAGTGACTTAGTTGCACTGTCGTGGCTGCCTTGATGTCTTACATCAATTTTATCTACCTTTAATGGTCATTTTGACTTTGGGGAAGAGCCAGAAGTCACAGATGTGGTGAATGGGGCAGATAAGGACACACCGTGTTTTTATAAGGCTGCCTTTCCACTGGATGACACGCAGCAGCAGCGTTCACCGTACTTTTGATCACACCTCCTAAGACACTCATGAAACAGAACTTCCACAATAGCTTCAGAAAGGTGCAAGAACAATGAAATAAGTGTGTTCAAAATGAGGGAGAGCAATTGCGATGTGCCTTTCACTGTCTATTTTGGTCATGCTTCATATAAACATGACTAACCTGAATTTAAGTAAAAACTATAAAATAATTTTGTTAAAACTTTGATTACTTATACATGTCTATATTTTTTGTAAAGTACAGTAATCGCCCCTTATCTGTAGGAGATACGTCCTAAGACTCCCAGTGGAGGCCTGAAACCATGCATAGTACCAAAGCCTAGTACACTATTTTTTCCTATACATACATAAATAAAGTTTAATTTATAAATTAGGTACTGTAAGAGATGAACAAAAACCATAAAAAATATGGTTATTCCCAAGATCACATTCTCCTTTATCACCTTTACAGAAATGTCACTATTTCTTCTTAAAGTAAAATAAATTTTCAACATATACTTTATTAAACTGTGGGGTAAAAGTTCTCTTAAAAATTCAGATTTTTTCACTCTGTATGTTAGTTTAACATGATTTTTCTCAATTCTACAAATATTTAATATTGAGATCATCTTGAGAAATTAAGATAGGACAATTACTCATATTTTACTTAAATTCCTTCTTGAAACTAAAAAGTGGGTAAATGACATACCTTCCGAATTATGTGCAGTTTTCTTGTGTTTTCGACAATAAACCCTACAAAATAATAAAGAAATTAAAAATTGTAAAGTACAAAAACTAAATTAAATTCCTATTTCCAATTAAGAAAATGAGTAGCACATGTCACCCTAAACTGGATTCAAAAAAATCTTATGAAACTTTTTGTACCATTGTCTAAGCACTGAATTTCTTATACAAACACTCTATGACAATGATGAAATGCTTTGAAATGGGAAATATTTTTACAAAAGCCCCCAAATTATGACTTTAAACAACTTAAGGAGAAGTTAAATAATTACATGTAAATTCCTTGTGAAGGTTTCTCTCGTATTTGAGCTTTATCATGCAATGCACAGTGGTAGTGGTATGTCCTGTGACATGTTTTCACATCACAACCAATTGTTGCTCCAGGACAGTGGCACAAAGAACACATCTACAGCAAAACAACAAAATGTATTATTAGTGATTTTGCTAAGACCATGACATTAGCCTAGAGGCATATCAATTTACACCAAGAAAAACAAACTTGTTAGTAAAAACTTTTGTAATTAATAATGGTGCTTTTCTTGTTTTCTCTCTTAGAAATAATTTGAATAAATTTTTTCTGGAGGTATTTTTCCTATGATAAACTGACAAAATTAATGGAATGTTATAAATGTCTATTATTTCACTGTGGTCAAGAAAAAATTGAAACACTGAAAAATCAGGGATGTTAGCTATATATAACGTTGTAAAAGAGGTACACCTGTTCTATAATTCAAATCTTGGACATGAGTAAGCAGGAAAAAGATCTTATATAAGAAAAAAATTATTTTCTTAAAAGTGCCACTTAGTAGAATAAATGGCCCTGGCTTAGTATGCACATGGCTCTGGCTCTGATGCATAGTACACAAAACAAATAAACAAATAAAATAAATGAAAAATAAAATTACCACATAAAGTGAGGAAAGGAAAGAGGACAAAAGAGTTAGCTTTTAAATACCATGAACTCTAAGACTATTTTCCAATGTCAAATTGATTATATTGTAGAAATACGTTCATATACTTCAATTTAATCTATGCCACTTACCTTTTTTTTTTTTTTTGCTGTTTCTAACCTTTTTAAAATTATTATTGTTATCTCTGTGTTAGGAATTCGGGTGAACACGTTCTTTCATCATATTTTAATACATTTTACCTTCTGAATTCATTGGAAAATCCATACTGATTAACTAGCTCATGCTCTGTATGTGAAAAAACTTTTTAAAAAGCACATGATGAGTGTCAAGTTCTGTTTTACATATCACAGTGTACTATATATACCTCTTACACTTTTAATGAGGCTATCTCTTAAGCTATAAATGCCATACCAAAATAAATTCACAGTACTTCTAAAAGATGCTTTGCTTCTTAGTTGTTAGATACCCTGTTCCAAACTGTTCTCATTTCTCTTTACTAATTCGAACATAAGGAACACTTACCATCCTAATGTTTGAATTAGGTGGCCCCTAAGCAATTCTGGTGTACCAAGATTCTAATAACTATTCCGATAAAATTTCTTATATTTCTCTAAGCAAGTCAAACACTCAAACTCATTCAAGCTTTCATTTAAAAAATTCTCCTGTGGCCAGGCATGGTAGTGCATGAATGTAATCCCTGCACTCTGGGAGGCTGAGGCAGAAAGACTGAAAGTAGAAGTCTAGCCTGAACAATTCCGTGACTTAGGGAGAAATAAAAAAGGGCTTGGGATGAATCTCAGTGCAAATGCCTTGCATTCAAACCGAAGTACAAATAAATAAGTAAATACTCATGTAAGTCAAAAATAAAAAGACACTCTCAGGTAGAGACAGATACTTCCCAGAAAACATGAGGGCTGGTAACCTTCTTTTGTGTCTGTGTGTGGTGCTGGGGCTGGAACTCATGGCCTCTTGCTGTTAGGCAAACACTCCACCACTAAGCTACATGCCCAGCCCAGTACCCATTATTAATACCTGAGAAATACCCAACTTTCTTAAATAAATAAATACCATGACTTATAAAGTTAAAAAGGTAGAACATTTGTTCTGTAGCTTAATTATGAAGTTTTGTTATTTCAGTAAATTACATTTCTGATCAGAAAACAAAAATTTTGGAAAACACAAATGAGCACAAAAATTTAAAAATCACTCATATTCCATATAAGTGGAGACAACTGACTGTGTTACAATGCTTACATGAAAGTATTTTTCTACATAATTCTGGATACTATTTTGCAACCTAATTTTTAAAACTTAAAACTTTATCTCATTTTATTAAGCAGTCTACTACAAGTACTTTATCTTGAAACTACATCTAAAATGGGTTTTGATACATACATTTTGAAAAAACTGTTGAATTATTGCTATTTTTTTTTTCTCTACCGGGGATTGAACTCGGGACCTTGCGCTTGTGAGGCAGGTGCCGGAACCACTGAGCTAAGTCCCCGGCCCGAATTCTTGCTATTGAGTTAGCAAGTGCAACTGAAGAGAGATGCTGTCAAAATTACTGTCAAAGATGTAGTGAGATGGGCATTCCTGTATACTGACAGAAATTGGCCCACACCCTCGAAAGCAATTTGTCTTATTTATCAGGGAGCTTTTGTAACAGTTTACCTCCTCCAATCCATTCATTTTACTTGTATAAATCTAGTCTAAAATAATCAGTCTCAAACAATCTGTATACATGCACATCAACTGCAGATTTAGAATATCTACAAATGTAAAATAACCTATGGAAACAACAAATGAAAAATGTTTAAATAAATTATAGTATATCCATCTGAAGGAATATTTTATAGTTACTCTTCAAAGACATTTTAATGTACAGGGAAAGGCTATATATAATATTAAGTGAAAACTGAGGATATGATACATAAATATGCGAATTATTCCAATTCTGTTTGTAACACACTGTTTGCAAACAGGTGGAGGCAGGGAGTGGAAAGTGTAGGGGCAAAGAGACTACAATGATCAAGATATGCTACATACACGTACCAATTCCCCCAAATGAAAGTAATATTACATATTATGAACATATACTGATTTTAGAAAGAAAGAAAATAGGTAGAAGTAAATATAGCTGAGTGCCGATCTCTGGGTGGCTGGTTTTCTTAACAGCTCCTCCATTTTCTGATTTTCCTACAACAGGTAAAAGTACTTCGTTATGCAAATTTTTTTAAAAAAAACATTAGGAATATTTTTAGCAGATGGACTCAATATCTATCTTTTGGTTTGGGAATTGAAAGCTCATTATAAAAATGGTTTTTTTGGCTGGTTATAAATTAAGATCTCCCCAAAGTTAACTGGTTTAAGCTGCTTTGGCAAAATAAACCCATTTCGTAAATAACCAGTTAACTACAGCAATGTAGGGCAGAGAGAATGTTTTAAAAAGTGAATAAAAGCTGACTTTATTTTTATTGTCATTTTCATTAAAGGAAGAAAGAGGAAGACATACTGATAAAAATAATTTCAGAATGTAAAATTCTTCTTTAAGGGTAGAAATTTTTCTGAATTAGAATTCATAGCATCTACTTTATACAGCATTCATATACAAGCAGTCATGTTTCTGGCAGGGTACTAACAAGATAGCAAAAACTAAAATTTACTTGCTTACCTAGAAATTAAGAAGCAACTGTTATCTCTTAATCATTTTACTCCCTATGTGACTAATTATTTTTATAAATATACAAAATTTATCCACCAGTTCATTCTAGACCCAATTATTTTGAAGGCTCTAACACTGTACCTTACAAAGTAGTGCTCTATAAACCTGTTGATTATGGTATTGAATTTAATATCTTATCTCATATTTTTCTCATCTATGGTTTTAATTGTCAATTTTATATAATTATATTTGAGCACTTCCAAAAATGTCATTTATAAACCATCTGATTTAGGATTGGAAAGGTGAATTTGGGGAGAACAATCCAGTTGAAGGGATGCAAAGTGAGTGGTGTTTACATCTGGGGGAAAAAAGATTAGCTCTGCTAGAAACAAGCATAAGAACTACATAAGAGACTAAAAGAAAAATTAAAGAAGCTGGGAAACCAGACAGGTTTAACTAGTACAGTTTTCAAAATGTTATGATAAATCAAACAAAGATTTCTCTTGAAAAATGGCAAAACAGGACCCCCACCCAGCAACACCACCACCACCACAGGAAGTTGTTGTACCCATGTAATGGTATCCAGAATCACTCTCTGCATAAAATATTTGCTCAGTCTCAACTAGTACCTCAGCAAAACGACTGTCAGCTGCACCATGGCTACCCCAAATATGAGAAAATAAAAAGTTAACCTGACAGGAACATGTTAGATCTTCCCCCCTGCTCAAAAGGTCTCATCCACCTATCAACTATTCTGTTGACAGCTAATTTCCTTCCTGCAGCACAGGTATAAGTGTTTATTATTAGCTTATCTTCCTCATATGAACATATTCATGTTCTTGTTGTAAAGAGGCAAAAACTTCATTGATAATTGTTTTTTTTTTTTTTTTTTTACTTTTACTCCTCATTTCTCTTTGCTACCTAGTAAACCTCAGTAATTTAATACCACCTCCAAACTAGGGAGACTGGAAAACAAGGCCCTGTTTTATTACAGATATTTTCATAGCATCTCTAGAGTACTGTCAGTATTGATACTAATCTAAAAGTTAAGTTGAGATACATAGTCTCAAGTTGCTGATGCACAGATAAGAGAGGAACTAAGTCACACATGAGGAGAGATATATGAACGCAACAGATTAACGCTTAGCTTAAGCACAGTAGGAACCAGAGACTGGGGGATATCTGCTCCTCAGTCAACCAAAGTTTGGCCAAGTCTGAAATTCAGTTTTCAAAAAGTCTTAACCACTTACCAGTCCAATTATTTATAAGATGACCAAAAACTGCATATTTTTTCATTAATTTTTATAAGATAATGTAACAGGAAATATAAAAATGACAATTTTATTAAATTTATTCAAGAATCGACTGGTTGAAATGACACTAACAAATGTGCTGCCTGAGTGGTGCTCAGGGTAAACCGTTAAGTGGTTAAAGAACAAAAGAAAAAGTATTACTTTCCCAGTAGCTATGGGAAAAATAAAGCCAAATAATGTTGGCAACTTCCAGGATAGGCAGAAAGAGAAGGCTTTGGGGGAGAAGCTGGGATCTGATGGCTACACCCATTGGAAACTCAGGAAGGATGAGCTCTTTACAACTTAGTTTTATCCAGCTTGACTGTCATATATGTATTATGCATATCAGTAACTGACTCCAAGAGTATAGATACAAATTATCATAGCCACTACTGTAGTTAACTACTCTGAAGACACTGTTTCAAGAAAATTGCTACACATGAACAAAGAATAAAAAATATCTATCACCTGGTCCTTTACAGAAAGTTTGCCAACCTATGTTATATGGCAATGGTCTATAAACAAAGGTGTTAATCAAAAG